TTGCTATACACATAGGCCCAGAGCACCACAGATCCTCCACCTTACCTAACAGCAGGGCTGAGAGGCTTTATATTGCTCACTGCTGCTGAAATGTTCAATTCTGGTTTCTTATAATCAAAGTTCCAGTAAAACGGAGAAAACTCCTTTTATTTATTTGTGATGCTGTGAGTCAGTAAGCTAACCCCCCCCTAACTTCCTCCTATGTGGGAGTGTGTGTGTGTGGGGGGGTGGGTAGCAGAAGATCCTGGATTACTAGAAAGTAGGAACTGTTCCAGTGCTTGCAGTACTTCAGCCACTCGCTCCAAACGGATAAAGAGAATCAATAGGTTGGATTTCTTTAGAAAGTTATGCAATAATTCAATTATCTAAAAAAAATAATCCAAAAATACTCCGGTCTTTTAAAAAGGTCGATGGAAGTCACAGAATGAGGTCGGCCATGTTAAAGGAAAAAAACATCCCATCCACCTGCTGCAAAGTTCTTTATTCTGTCATCTATAAAGAGGCATGAACCAGTTTATAAAAAGAAATAAAGACTTTTTAAATCATAAAAATTTTCACAATAGCACCTGAAAACAGCAGCCATAAATAATCAAACCTGGATCCTGTTCATTGGTTCATCAGAGCCACTATTAGTCCGTGTTTGCATAGGAGATACGAGCCAACAACACAAATCAGCTGAAAATGGACAGAAGACCAGATTTCCCATCAAATCCACTCTTGGAGTTCAGGGCAATAATAATAATAATGCAGATTAAAAGTGGAGAAAATAAACCTAAAACAAGTGGAAGCAGTTCTGTTCATCGACGTGAAAAAATGATGGATTTCACCAGGAGTCTGTTTTGCTTTTAAACCCAAACAGCCTGATGTTGCTAGCGGCTCACGGCTGATTTCAAACCATTTTAGGTTTTTTACACCGAAAAATAACAAAGAAAGAAGCTTCTGCAGCAACAGCTTTAAACCCGCTGAGTAGCAGGGATGAATCATTTAGCCAAAAATGAAAATTGCATTTATTTTAAACCAATATTGTGATGCTATTTTGCCATTATGTCCATTTTCACTACAGAGTCCCAGTTTTTTCCTGACATGGAAATTTGCTTGTTCAGAGTTTTTCATTGTAGGACTTTACTGTAACCTTTTGTCAAGAAGTAAATAATTACTTTCATGCATGAATCTGCGTATTAGCAGCACCCCTCTTCCTGTCTGCTAAGCTTATTACTGTTAGCTAAAAGGCTGGAGGGAAAAATTGAGCTATTTGCTCTTTTTAAATGTAATATGAACAAAACTCTTTCCTTCTGCCATTTGAAAATGTGCTAAATTGTGAAAATATTCTGAATGCAATTAATATCCCAGCCCAGAATCAGATGGTTGTGATCAGCCAATGGGAGGGTAGGTTAAAAAAAAAAAAATCATTATAGAAATCCAACAATAAATCCCCCAGAGGGAGGAAGCCATTTTAATGCCCGCCAGCCTTTGGTCATTTGTCATTTCTTTTCTCCAACAGTCACTGATGAGGTGGGAAAAGCGCCTCCTCCGGCGCACAGAGGTGACGACAGCACAACTAGAAAGTCCAGCTAATCAGAGAGCAAATTGTTACCAAACAAAATGACTTTTAAATGTGTTTTAAGAGAGAAATCGGACATTTTTCTAGAACATAATTGGCTTGTTTATCCAAAAAAGGACAGTTTTGTTGGATTCACCTCATGTCTGATTGTGAAAAGCAGGATTCTAATCAGGAGAGAAATTTATTTATTTAAAAGGCAAACAAAATACTTGATTAAGGAACAAAATGCACTTGGAGACAGTTAGCGATGGTAGTGTGAACAACAGAGGCATGAAAGTTTTAAACCAAATGAATCTCCATCTACTCTCCTCTGATCGGTGCTGCTGCTGCTATGATTGCGATTTCACATTCGTTTCTGATTCCATCTAGTGGAGAAGCTTGGTGGCGTTTTCAGTAGCTGAGCTCAGCGCTGCTGAAGAAGAACAGGAAGGAGCAGCGTTTGATATGTTGGTACGGGGAAACATTCAGTCATCGGCTCCATCAGTCCAGTCCTTACTTTCACACACGCCAGGAAACCAAAACTGAACACATCAGCACCTCAAACCCCCCAGAAACATCAAACTCAGCAGAAAACAAATAAAAAAAGGGCAGTAAAGCAGTCAGAGGCTTCCTGAGGCAGAAAGGCAGCGGCTGAACTTTTGGCGCCGAAGCTCAGCCTTTGCTCCCCTGCAGTGCGTGGCCCTCGGACATTCGCTCCTCCTCCACCCGGATCCGGAGGTGCTCCTGACAGTGTTCTAGGAAGGGCTCCAGCGCCGAGAAGCCCTGCTGACACGGCACACAGTGGTACAGCCTCTGCCTCTTGGAGCCCGGCCCTTTGCTGGCGTCCATCTGGCTGGTGCACACGCTGCACTGGTGCCTCCTGGAGGACGACTGGTGAAGCTCCATGTGCTCCTTCAGCTGCTGCTGCACAGGGAAGACCTCCGGGCAGGAGGGACAGGGGAACTCGCTGTGCTCGGGCTGCTCTCTCCCAGAAAC